AAGTCAAATAAACAAACCAAAGAATATTTTATTTCTACTTACGACATCACGATGTTGTTTAACATCATTATAAAAAGTAAAATCAGGCGATTCAAGATTTTCCTCAATTACTGGTATTACGGGACATGATATACATGTACCATGTAACCACCGTACGAAATGTTTAGGTAATTGACTTATTTCATGAGCACTACGTCGAATAGAATTAATAATTCCTTCAAGTGGTGGTTGTAATTTAATACGAGGAGGAGCAAGTATAATATCAGCTGTAAAAAGAGATAAAGTGCCAAAAATATTTTCATAAAATTGACATAGATTACGAATAACTAATTCAACTAAGGAAGCAAATATTTCATGTTCCCAATATGTATAAAATGGATGCACTTAAAAACAAAAAGTAAATAAATAAATTTTAATATTGATAAAATGAATAAAATCAACTTACTACTTTTATGTTTTTCAGTATTCGTACCAAAAACTAATGCTTCGACTTTAGTTAATAAAGGACCAATAAGTTCATAACGTCGTTTTAAACTTAATATAATTTCTTTACGTTTATTTTCGAGAAATTCAAAATATTCTCGACAAGTAAATAAACTTCCTATACGAAACAACTAAATATGAGAAAATTGTACTTTAATTAGCTAAAATCTGAAATAAGATTTTTTCCTTATCAAAAATATTTAACAACGAAAATTAATCAACTGTCCAATCACTTTTAAGTCGCAACTGTGTGTATCATGTAAACTTTAATGAATTGTGGTTAACCTGAAAAGAATTTGAGCTGTTAGTTGTTTATTTCTGTGGATATTTGTACATTATTTATATGCAATCTTGTGGTCTTCCTCAGGAAAATTGACTTTTTCATTTCGACTTGAAACCTTGCATAGAAACAGCTCTGAATTACAAAAGTTTATTGTAAAAATTTGAGATCTTTTAATTATTCTTGATCTAAAATACGACTATGATAATATCATGTTGTTTTCTTAGTATCAATCATATACTCTAGCAGGTTCCGATGTTCTTATATCAAAATAGAACAATAATAAGAATAAATTCTAGAAGAATTTTGTCAATTATAGAATCTTTATCTTATTTACATTCTATTCTAAGAATATATTAAATTAAGATCTATAACATACCATCATTATGTCGTGGAACAATTGGATCAATAATACAAAAACGAAAAGTTTCAAGATGTTCATGAATATCTAATGAAATTTTTCGTATTTGATTGAGAATTGAATGAAATTTTTCTAATTGTTTTTTACATTCATTGACATAATCAAGATTACCAATTTCACCAAATGATATTCTTGATCTTCCTGGTTTAATAATTATTTGAATATGATCAATATAAGATTGAAGAAGTGATACTTCAATAGTATCAAGTGATGCTATTGTTAAATGATAATCTTCAAGCATTAAACGAAGTTCATTTGATAATTGTTCATATTTAGAATATTGTAATTTTATTTGTACAATTAATTCAGGTAAATTAAATCCANAAATATTTTCATAAAATTGACATAGATTACGAATAACTAATTCAACTAAGGAAGCAAATATTTCATGTTCCCAATATGTATAAAATGGATGCACTTAAAAACAAAAAGTAAATAAATAAATTTTAATATTGATAAAATGAATAAAATCAACTTACTTCTTTTATGTTTTTCAGTATTCGTACCAAAAACTAATGTTTTGACTTTATTTAATAAAGGACCAATAAGTTCATAACGTCGTTTTAAACTTAATATAATTTCTTTACGTTTATTTTCGAGAAATTCAAAATATTCTCGACAAGTAAGTAAACTTCCTATACAAAACAATTAAATATGAGAAAATTTTACTTTAATCAGCTAAAATATACAATAAGATTTTTTCCTTATCAAGAATATTTAACAACGAAAATTAATCAACTGTCCAATCACTTTTAAGTCGCAACTATGTGTTTCATGTAAACTCTAATGAATTATGATTAATCTGAAAAGAATTTGAGCTGCTAGTTGTTTATTTCTGTTGACATTTATACGTTATTTCTATGCAATCTCGTAATCTTCCTCAGGAAAACTGAGTTTTGAATTTCGACTTGAAACCTTGCATAGAAATAGCTCGGAATTACAAAAGTTTATTGTGAAAATTTGAGATCTTTTGATCATTCTTGGTCTAAAATACGACTATGATAACATCATGTTGTTTTCTTAGTATCAGTCATATACACTAGCAGGTTCCGATGCTCTTATATCAAAATAGGACAATAATAAGAATAAATTCTAGAAGAATTTATCAGTTATAGAAACTTTATCTTATTTACATTCTATTCTAAGAATATATTAAAAAAGATCTATAACATGCCATCATTATGTCGTGGAACAATTGGATCAATAATACAAAAACGAAAATTTTCAAGATGTTCATGAATATCTAATGAAATTTTTCTAATTCTTTTTTGCAGTCATTGATATAATCAAGATTACCAATTTCACCAAATGATATTCTTGATGTTCCTGGTTTAATAATTATTTGAATATGATCAATATAAGATTGAAGAAGTGATACTTCAACAGAATCAGGTGATGGTATTGTTAAATGATAATCTTCAAACATTAAACAAAGTTCATTTGATAATTGTTCATAGTTAGAATATTGTAATTTTATTTGTATAATTGATTCCGGTAAATTAAATCCAAGTTTTTCTAAATAATAACATTCAATTAATGATTCTTTTAAATTAGAACCATAATTTATTAAATATTTTATTTCAATTTTTTTCTTTGTACCAATTGGATCAAATACATATTGATATAAATGACATTTTTCTTTATATAATTTTAATTTATTTACTATTGAACGTAATGAATCAATTGATATTGACACACGATTTAGATCTTTTTTTGTTATATATAATGGCAATCGAAAAATAGCTCTGGTTGTTGTTCAGCATCAATAAGTAAACTTTGTTTAAGATAGATTGGTAAATATTTAATGGTATTATTAAGTCATTTTGTATAGAGTTCTTCTTCATATTCTATAAGTTCAATGTCTATTTCCATAAATCGATGTTTTGCAGTTGTACCTTGTTCAGATTGAAGTAATCAATCAATTGAACGAAATTTAATCATTGGAAGTTTTATACGAGTAAATAAAAAACGAGTCCATTGAATAACACCAGCAATAGGTGGAAAATCCTAATGAATTAATTGTTTGTATTCGATATTATTAAGGTGACGACAATTCGAAATTTTAGTAAAAAAATATTTTTGCATTTTCTTGTCATAGTCGGATTACAGCTCGTCAAGTTATCTACAAAAGTGTTGTTTGCTTAGTGAAACTTAGGAAAGCTAGATTTAAAAAAAAACAGAAAAACCAATAAAATTTGGAATGTGCTAGAAGTATCAAGTTTCAATATTGATTCGAACTTTTTTTATTTTATTCGTCACATGGATAGGCAAAAAAGTGTTGCATGCTTTTAAAAGACGATTATTTTACTATTGAGAACATCGATCTTTTTTCGCTAGAAATTTAATTTTGAGTTTTTCTCTACTTCAATATGGACTTAGCATTTTGCTGTTTAGACCACACAAAAGAGGATATATTCTTCTCCTACAACATGTTATCTCTAGCAGCATAGTCAGGAGATTATGGGTAGTAGAGTAGTGTCCTATGATCTTTGGGTTGGTAGCACAGCGCTCGACCAAGTCCACTGTTGCTTATGCTACTAGTTTTCTTATTACGATAGTGAAGAAAACTCTAGTGGATTGAAACGAGCATGTTCCTAGCGAATCAGATCTTAACAAACGATTTCTTCACTAAAAGACTCTCTCTTGGCTTTTCTCCTACAATATCCTGCTGAGTTCATATTGCAGAAGAGAAAAACTCGAAATTAAGTGATATTTATATATATTTAGAATAAATATTGAGACTACCAAGAGTTGACGTGATTGAGGTATTTCAATTTTTATAGGCTTTTTTAATTTTATTTGTTTAACCTAAGTCTGAATTTATATTTTTATAGGTACTTCGACGAACTTTACCCAAAACGCCAAAACAATTGCTTAAATTTCTAATCACTGGCACTTCACATAACAAAAAGATAGCTCAATATTTACTTTAAATATAGGTGGATTATCTTTATATTTAATAAAAAGATCATAAATTCCATCAATTTCTTTGCAGTATTGTAAAAGAATAGCAGTAAATTGTTCAATCATTTCATATACTAAAATATGAGTTGTATCAATTTGTTGAAATTTCATAAGCATATCAAGTGCAGTTTCAGATGAACGCAATTAAGTAAAAGAAGCATGTATAAAAATTTTTGCTTCTTGTTCAATAATTGATGAATGATATTTAAATTCTTCAATAAATGAATACCATTGTTGAGAATTTTCACGATTAAATATATCAAAATGACATGAAAGAAATGTTTTTTTTAAACCAGATACATATTCAAGTACACGATCAACCATTTGTTCTTCACCTATAACAATTTTCATTTCTAATCCAAATATATCATAAAATTCATTTAAATTTGATAACATTTGAATTAAATCATCACATATTTGTGACATATAATCCGTTTTTATCAAAAAGTATCCGATACTCAAAATTTCATGTTGAAAAATTACGTTTATCATTTTCAAGTTTACTTCGAGTATTTTGATATTCGATTTTCCATTGAAGTAATAATTGTTTTGCTTGATAACAAATATTTTTAGCTTCACTTAATGTGTTTGATGAAAGTAAAGTTCTAATATTAATTGTTTGTCGTACACGATTGACAATTTCATTGGCAATTTTTTCCATGAATGGAACAAAACGTTCATCTTTATTATAATGTTTTGACATTGTCCTAAAAAAAAAATAAAAATAATTATCTAGAGATTTGATTCTTTTTTGTAACAATTATAATTAATGTTATAATAACTTCACAACTGAAAATTCAGATCGATCTTCTGAGTCTACTGAATGTTTGTAAATCATGACGCATGTCCAACATATTCTCATTTGAATCTTTCTCAAAGATCTCTAATTGAATGAGATTGAGAAGAAATATCAAATTTTGAGAATAGAAGTCGACAAATTCAGTTCCCGAAATTGAGTTATCCAAAACAAATTTTGTTTAATTTTTGAGAACGGTAGTCCCAGGTTTCAAAAAACTAAATTATTAATTGGATTTCTCATGGATTAACTGAACATCACCGGTATCGTGCATTAACTTCATCTTTGAATGAAATGAATCTTAAGGTAAGAATAACCTTTACAACTGGAAAATCATTTTTCTTTGACTTTGACTTTTTTTGACTGCTTTCGTAAACCGTTGTGTTCTGACAGTGTTTAGTTTATCATATCTTTATTGATCTTCAACTAATATTCTTTTTGTTCCATATTCGATTCATTTTCTGTCTTAATAATTCTTGATGCAAATCAGAGAGATTTTTATAAAAATTTAATTTGTCAGCAATGTTAATATTCAAACAATCATAGAATAATTGTAAAGACATTTCGCAATATAAATTGATTGTTTGAGTCACACATAACTTCGAGTTACAGCTCTATAATGGGTTCGGAATCCTACAGAAGTGGAATCGAAGTGCTTGAGAAAAACTTTCTTTCGGAGTCAATATCAGATTGACAATAGTAAAACAATCAAGGTGTTATTCTTGAAAAAGTAACAAAAAAAATAATATTAAAGAGATATTCATGTCAATACATAGTAAATAAAACAGTTTAAATATCGCTACAACACTGAAAAAAATGATTTTTCGAAGTTTATTGGAGACTAAATAGATTTTTTTTTTACACTCAGATTCAACTTTCAGTACTAAAGACAGAACAAATAAACAATATTCATTTTGATATTTTCTTCATTNACTAAAGGCCCTAATGATGTTTTACATCATTTTCACCTCAAAGCAATCTTTAATATAGTAAATTTTGCTTGAATTTTGTATAAAAAAACTCGCCTCACTTTTCTAGAAAGAATTGCCAACGAATTGCCGATGAACTCTTAGGGGCCCATTTTCCATTGCTTGTACGCCCCCGTCCTTTATGTGCACCTAATTCGTCAAGAGTGCAGATCAAAGACATAATTCTGCTTTGATTGTTAAAGTAAAAAGAGAAGTATGGTAGATGATAATAGATGGCGCCTATATTACCTTTGATCTTCATAATCCCGGAAAATATGAGTTTTCCTAACCTATGCTCTTGACCGAGTGTGTGGACAAAAATTTGCCAACCCTCGAACATTTATAATGGCTGAGATTCTATATGGCGGAGACTTTTGTTCACTACTGTAATTCACTTTAAATTAAGTTTAACTGATCACGTTTGACAAATATCATTTAATTCCAAGTTTTCCCTATTGAAATACAGACTCATTATGGTATTGTTCGAGCCATTCAAGATAGAACCACTGATAAGTTCGAACAACAATATGCTTTATCTTTACAATAGTGAAGACATTGTTTGCTGAATTCTGATTGGTTAAAGCGTAAAATTTCTGTAGATGATTTCTTCACTAATCAGGGGTTCTCTCTTGAATGGCTCAGAAAAAACTATGTTGAGTCTGTTTTAGAGTAAAGAAAAACTCGACATGAATTCACATTTACTTAAAGCAATAACTTAAACTGAACTTCAAGTGTCAAGTAAAACTACTTAATACTTAACTTAATTAGGTCGAATTAACAAACAAAAGAATAGTTTATTCCTACTTACGACATCCAGATGTTGTTTAACATCATTATAAAAAGTAAAATCAGGTGATTCAAGATTTTCATCAAGTACTGGTATTACGGGACATGATATACATGTACCACGTAACCACCGTACGAAATGTTTAGGTAATTGACTTATTCCATGAGTACTATGTCGAATAGAATTAATAATTTCTTCAAATGGTGGTTGCAGTTTAATACGAGGAGGAGCAAGTATAACATCAGTAGTAAAAAGAGATGAAGTGCCAAAAATGTTTTCATAAAATTGATATAGATTACGAAATCAGCTAAAATATACAATAAAATCTTTTTCTCATGAAAAATATATAACAACGAAAATTAATCAACTGTTCAATCGCTCTTAAGTCGCAACTGTGTGTATCATGTAGGCTCTAATGAATTGCGGTTAACCTGAAATGGATTTGAGCTGTCAGTTTATTCCTGTCAGCATTTGTATGATATTTATAAGCAATTTTGTGATCCTCCACAGAGAACACTGACTTTCGAATTTAGACTTGAAACTTAATATGGAAACAGATCTGAATTAGAAAAGTTCATTGTGAAAATTTGAGATCTTTTGATTATTCTTGGTCTCAAGTACAACTATGATAACATCATGTTTTTTTAGTATCAGTTATAAACATTGGCAGGTTCTGATGCTCTTATATCAAAATAGGACAATAATAAGAATAAATTCTAGAAGAATTTATCAATTATAGAATCTTTATCTTATTTACATTTTAAAACTGTTAAAGATTTGTTTGCAAATAGAAAGTTTTCATTGACGAGATATTTATTTCATTACTTCGATACAGTGAAATAATTGATTAAGATTCAATTCTAAGAATATATTAAAAAAGATATATAACATACCATCATTATGCCGTGAAACAATTGGATCAATAATACAAAAACGAAAAGTTTCAAGATGTTCATGAATATCTAATGAAATTTGTCTAATTGTTTTTTTACATTCATTGATATAATCAAAATTATCAATTTTACCAAATGATATTCTTGATGTTCCTGGTTTAATAATTATTTGAATATGATCAATATAAGATTGAAGAAATGATAGTTCAATAGTATCAAATGATGCTATTGTTAAATGATAATCTTCAAGCATTAAACGAAGTTCATTTGATAATTGTTCATATTTAGAATATTGTAATTTTATTTGTATAATTGATTCAGGTAAATTAAATCCAAGTTTTTCTGAATAATAACATGCAATTAATGATTCTTTTAAATTAGGATCATAATATATTAAATATTTTATTTCAATTTTTTTCTTTGTACCAATTGGATCAAATACATATTGATATACGATTTAGATCTTTTTTTGTTATATATAATAGTAATCGAAAAATAGATCTGGTTGTTGTTCAGCATCAATAAGCAAACTTTGTTTAAGATAGATAGGTAAATATTTAATGATATTATTAAGCCATTTTGTATAGAGTTCTTCTTCATATTCTTTAAGTACAATGCCTATTTCCATAATCAATGTTTTGCAGTTGTATCTTGTTTGGATTGAAGTAATCGATCAATTGAATGAAATTTAATCATTGAAAGTTTTATACGTGTAAATAAAAAAACGAATCCATTGAATAGCACCAGTAATAGATGGAAAATCCTAATGAATTTATTCTTTGTATTCGATATTATTAAGGTGATGACATTTCGAAATTTTAGTAAAAAAAAATATTTTTGCATTTTCTTGTCATGGTTGGATTATAGCTCATCAAGTTATCTATAAAAATATTGTTTGCTTAGTGAAACTTAGGAAAGTTAGATTTTAAAAAATCAGAAAAGCCAATCAAATTTGGAATACGCCAGAAGCATCAGGTCTCAATATTGATTTGAACCTTTTTGATTTTATTCGTCACATGGATAGGCAAAACATGTTGCATGCTTTTAGAAGAAGATTATTTCACTATTGAGAATATCGATTTTTTTCGCTAGGATAACAAAGTTGGAGATGGATCATTTTTTTTTCACTCGACTTAAATTAGTTCAGTATCAAATGGTTTTGCTGAACACTTAAAATAAAGGTTCAATGGTTGTGTTAGGCAAATATCATTTAATTTTGAGTTTTTCTCTGCTTCAATATAGACCTAGCATGTTGTTGTTTAGGCCATACAAAAGAGGGCCTTGATAATAGTGGTGTGACTCTCTAGTTGATTGAAACGAACATGTTTGTAGCGAAGTCAGATCTGAGCAAACGATATCCTCACTATGCTAAAGACAATGGATATTGTTGCTCTGTTGGTTTTTCTCTGACAACACCGTGCTGAGTTCATATTGCAGAAGAGAAAAACTCAAAATTAAGTGATATTTATATATATATTCAAATAAATATTCAGACTAATAGGACTTGATAAGTTTGAGGTATTTCAATTTTTATAGGTTTTTTTTAATTTATTTAACCTGAGTCTGAATCTATATTTTTATAGATAATTCGACGAGGTTTATCCAAAACGCCAAAACAGTTGCTTAAATTTCTAATCACCGACATTTGACATGACAAAAAATAGCTCAATATTTACTTTAAATATAGGTGGATTATCTTTATATTTCATAAAAGGATCATAAATTCCATCAATTTCTTTACAATATTGTAAAAGAATAGCAGTAAATTGTTGAATCATTTCATATGCTAAAATATGAGTTGTCTCAATTTGTTGAAATTTCATAAGCATATCAAGTGTAGTTTCAGATGAACGATATTTAAATTCTTCAATAAATGAATACCATTGTTGAGAATTTTCACGATTAAATATATCAAAATGACATGAAAGAAATATTCTCTTTTAAAATCAGATACATGTTCAAGTACACAATCAACTATTTGTTCTTCACCTGTAACAATTTTTATTTCTAATGCAAATATATCATAAAATTCATTTAAATTTGATAACATTTGAATTAAATCATCACATATTTGTGACATATAATCTGTTTGTTGAAAAATTACGTTTATCATTTTCAAGTTTGCTTTGAGTATTTTGATATTCGATTTTCCATTGAAGTAATAATTGTTTTGCTTGATAGCAAATATTTTTAGCTTCATTTAATGTATATGATGAAAGTAAAGTTCTTATATCAATTGTTTGTCGTACACGATTGATAATTTCATTAGCAATTTTTTCCATTAATGGAACAAAATGTTCATCTTTATAATAATGTTTTGACAGTCCTAAACAAAAAATAAAAATAATTATCTAGAGATTTGGTTTTTTGTAACAATAATAATTAAAGGTATAAAGACTTCAAAACTGAAAATTCAGGTCGATCTTCTGAGTCTACTGGATGCTTGTAAATCATGACACATGTCCAACATATTTGAGGATTCAATAACAAACATCTTCTCATTTGAATCTTTCTCAAAGATCTCTAATTGAATGAGATTGAGAAGAAATAACAAATTTTGAGAATAGAAGTCAGCAAATTCAGTTCCTGAAATTGAGCTATCCAAAACAATTTTTGTTTGTTTTTTAAGAACGACAGTTCCAGGTTTCAAAAAAAATTTTTGGGCAGCTCAATTTCAAAAAACTAAATTGTCAATTGAATTTCTCATGGATTAACTGAACATCACCGGTATCGTGCATTAACTTCGCCTTTGAATGAAATGAATCTTAAGGTAAGAATAACCTTTACAACTGAAAAATCATTTTTCTTTGACTTCGACTTTTTTGATTGCTTTCGTAAACCGTTTTGTGTTCTGACAGTGTTTAGTCTTGAACTAGTTCCCTTTTTTTCATATTCGATTTACTTTCTGTCTTAATAATTCTCGATGCTAATGAGAGAGATTTTCATAAAAATTTAATTCGTCAACAATGTTAGCTTTTTTTCTTGGAAGGATTCTTTCAATTCCAAGATGAAATTAATGCACGACACCAGTTATCTCTAGTTAACATATTAAATATTCAAACAATCATAGAATAATTGTAAAGTCATTTCGCAATATAAATTAATTGTTTCAGTCACACATAACTTTCAGTTACAGTTCCATAATGGGGTCGGAATCCAACAGAAATGGAATCGAAGTGCTTGAGAAACACTTTCTCTCGGAGTCAATATCAGATTGCCAATAGTAAAACAGTCAAGGTGTTATTCTTGAAAAAGTAACAAAAAAAATAATATTAAAGAGATATTCATGTCAATACATAGTAAATAAAACAGTTTAGATATCGCTACAACACTACAAAAAATGACTTTTGGAAGTTTATCAAAGACTAAAAAGATTTCTTTTGTATGCTCAGATTTCAGGATCAAAAGAATTTGACTTCACAGGGCTCAACTTTCAATACTAAAGACAGAACAAATAAAGAATATTCATTTTGATATTTTCTTCATTCTTTTTTTTGTTTCTTACCATATTGTTTTTAAACCTTGCATTAAATTAGGTAACATATTGATAATAGTTTGAAATGATTTAGTCATTTGTAAAGTTTTTAAATGTCTTTCAATTGTTAATAAAAATTAATAATTATCTGTTGCTTCTAATAGATAATTTTGAAGTTGTAATTTTATATTATTAAATCCTGATAATGAAGGACTATCAATACCTTTTAAAACATGAATAATTTTTATGACATCATCTAGAAATAAAAATAAAAATAAAAAAAAACAAGAAATTGATAAATTAATAAAACCTTTTTTCATTTGTTCTAAAATTAATGTTATTCGAATAGATCGTTCATGCCAAAATTCTAATTCAGCCAGTGGACTTGAATTTAATAGACGTTTATTTAATTCATTATTCATTTCTTCATGTAATATTCTTTCTCAATTATAAACAAGAAATTCAAGATTTTCAATATATTCTTCATCTATTTCATCTCCATTAATTAAGAAATTTTTATTTGGAATAATTAAATTAAATTCACCTTTTATTTGACGTAAAGTTGATTTAATATGTAAACGAAAACGATTTAAACTTAAATGCAATTCATCACGTTGAGATGGTTCTTCAATTGATGGAGATATTAACCCATCTAGAAAAAAACAGTTGGGTACAATCTCTCTAAGATCAAAATGTGAAACAAGATCTTGCTGCTATTGCAAATCACAGGGAAATAGTTTTATTCTATCTATTTTAGGAGACTTTTTTTCACCCTCCTTAGTCGTTCAGAAATGCACTAAGAAAGTAATTCATATACAATCTGTGATCGTATGTCGACAACGTCTGTCACGATTCGTGGAAGGTCTAAGTATTATCTACTTAAAAGAGAAAAATTTACAATTACTGGCAAAGATTTTAGACTACAGTAATATTATTCAAATTACCGTGTTCTTAAATTTTCTCAATTTTTATAATAATTTATTTAAAATCTTTTGAGTTTTTCGCTAGTCTATCTGACCAGAGTTAAACACGTTTGATTTGACTTGACAAACACGTGACTTGTCCAGCTCTATATCTTGCTTCTCCAAGGTTTCATAGAATGTTCTTGAACAGAATATTCCCGAGAAAATCATGCGACTAAATTGAATTTTTAGTAGAGTGCTTGCATGTGCAGTTAGTCACTTCAAGATAGGAGACGTGTATCCATGTCCGGTTTTGAATCAATTCGTCATTAATTTGTGTATAGTGTTTATGATGCTGCTATAATCTGCAATAGTACATAGGCCACTAATCTATTACACTGCCATCCGTATTGTGATGGTGTGGGTAGAGCTCATCTGGTTCAAGTTCGAAAACTTAAGGCACGATGGATTATAGTGTGGGTGTCAGGACAATTTAAGTGAAGATCGACACTCATCCCCACTCTTAAGATTATCATATTCTAAAATACTTTTAGAGGTTTTCTGACATCGATATGAATAAATATATCCCATCAAAGTTTTAAAAATTTTCTTTGTTTTCTTAAAAGAAACCTCGTCCTCAAGGAGTGTGTGGGGTGTGAGTGTGGGTGTGGGTGGATGTGCGTGTGGGTGTGGGTGTGGGTGTTAGTCTTCTTTTTACCCAGACTCAGACCCACCCACAACCAGACCCATACCCACACCCACACCCACACCCATTGAACAAAGAATAAACTCAATTGTTTTCAAATAAATCAAAAAAACATGAGAAACTTGGATGAACAGATTTGACATATCTTGAGTACATTAAAGATATGTTTTCTTTCTTGTTTTTTTGGTTCATTTTAAAACTTTTCAAATTTAAAGTCGAGAAAGAAAAAAAATATTTGGTTTGAAAATGAAATATTAATAGTAAAACAAAAACACATGTTGAGCAACATACGCTGCTGGTTTCAATTCCAATAAACGTTTGGCAAAGCTTGTTCTAGTTTTATAATTTTTTAATTTAAATGCTTGATTAAGTGCAGATTTTAATGTCATGATTTTATGTATTGGTTGTTATTGTCAATGAGTAACATAAGCCGCTAATTCACATGAATGCTTTTCATGATGTTTTTTGTAAATCCTTTTTTTGTCATTGACATTTGTAAACCAACCATATACAGTGGTTTGCAAAAAAACTTGGAACAAACATTTGGCTTATATTAACGCCTGAGTTAATCGTCTTGAAAAAAATGTTTCGATATTTCATATACAATAGTTCATAGTTTAACAACATTCCGTTCAGTATTTTGTTCCCTCTTCTTTTACTTCAAAAACTTAATTGCATCTTTTTTTTATGCGATTTGTAAAACTAATTACAACTTATTTTTTCATANGGTTTCGTATAAAACTATAGTGCGAAACCGTAGGGTTTACTAGGAAACTATGAAGGTTTCGTATTTTCTTACGAAACCTTTTTTCGCTGTACGGAACTTAAAATAGGTTTCGTAGGAGATGGTTCGGACGGCGTGCCCACGGACAGATCCTTTTAAGGTTTCGTAGATTTTAACAACCATTTTGTTAAGCCTTTGGACGCATTTGGAAGCTTTTCGACACCTACGAAACCTTTTTGGAGGGTTCGGTAAATTAACCTTTTTTTTTTTACAGTGTAGATCCGGAAACAGATCCCGCAAAAGCCAGACCAATACCAACACAAACAGTCAAAGCCAGACTTATAACTACAATCGCACACTCTCGATCACATATAAACCTGTCACTCATACAAAACTCCACTGGTCACACCCATGCAAACAATGTGAATCATTCCAAGATCCATATCTCGCAGTCATCATCTACATTTCCACCCTCATTTCGTTTCATAAATACTTTCCTTGCACCTTTTTTTTGTGAAAAATCAACTTCTATTGCTTTCTAACCCAACAGCAGTGCTTCAAGGTGAAGAGCACTCAGGTTGACATTTTCCACTCTGATTTGTTCTTAGAAAAATTTTTTGACAACTTTGAATTTCCATTGGCTACTGAGCCATTAATAGATTTTCGAGGGAACTAGAGTTCAAATTGAAGCTCCTCACCGCAAAAGCCTATTTTTGACTTCGACAAAATCTAGAAGTATCATTATCATGCCTAAAAACCGTAGTTTCAGTTTTCTACTGATCAGAGTAGAATAAACTAAATAGGAACTTCCGTATAGTCGATCATCGTTTAATGGTTCAGAGTACCTGCACATTTACCTTAACCTTCAATTGCTTTAACGCCATGTTCATATTCAATTGACTCATTCAAAATATATTGTTTGAAAACGGGTACACCTTGCAAATTTCGTGGAAATTTGTTTGAAAAAGAAAAAGAAATATTCATAATAAGGCTCTGATCGTCAAGAAATACTTGATCCGCCTCCTTCCTGTTTATCTTTGTGCAGTTTTGAGGGATCCTTCTTTACCGGCTCATCCTTATGTGGACGTCCTTGATGGATTTTCGCTTAGACATTAATCAATCTATACCACTATGATTCTGAATTTAAACCTGTCACACCGTATAAAACGATTGAATCAATGTGGAAACATATACAAAAACGGAGTTTCAATTCATTGAAATCGAAAAATGCTCTTCCTCAAAAATGACTTGTCATTTGTCTCTCTACTGTATCGAATGGTTTCTTCTCTGTTTACAGCATATAGTCCATATTCCATTGTATCCACTTTATCTCCACTGTATCATGAAGCTGCCTAATTCGAGTTCCAATATAAATGGAGACTTCAAAACCAAACTTGAGCATACAATCGATCCTTCTCAAAGACTTAGTTTTAGTTATTCATATTCATAAATCGTATCCATACATATCTACACATTTATATGTATAGATATGAATTATAACTAAGCGTAACTAAAACTAAATCTATTCCTATAAATTCCTATTGTTACAGGAGTACATATAAATGAATAATAAATGCAAATAACTAAAACTATATATATTTCCATTATACAATCAAGTTCTAGTTCAAGTCTTTTGTATTTATTTTCGAATTTGAACTAAGCAACTGAATGTTTGTTTATATTCGAACTTAAATAAGGCAACTCATAAATGTATCTGAAATACCAGCGATCTGCTTTTTCCCACCTAGGCAAGATCGGCGATGGGAACTAATTGGTAAAGACGCAAAACTGCGACGAAAAAAATGTACGAGCTATCGCGGAGATGCCACTGAATTCTGGAAGTCTCACAACACAAGAAAGCAGTACTACTGCACAACGAGTTGGAAATCTTGTAGGGAGACGGCGAAAGTCCTTTCTAGAACATTCGGTCTCAACAACTGCCGATGGGCATTGCTATACCGATTACACTGTATCGTTTCGGCTCAATCATTTGGAATTTATTTGCGGATTAGCTTCAGTGTTTACGCACTAAAAATCCATCCAATTTGATAGGCCACCGAAACAGAAAGGATCATTGGATGGATGCCAGAATGGGTGCGAAAAGTATGCCCACACTTTACAAGGATTGCAATTAAAAATATTAAATCCCAATGCCATTGAAGATATGTTATGTAGAGATTCAATCCGGCTGATGGTAGAATCAAATTTGACACAGAAGAGGGGATCTCATCAGCTTGTGTCTGGCACAAATGTTCATTCAGGTAGAAAAATTCTTAAAAGGAATATTAGACCTAAATGCTAATTTTTTCACTAAGAATAGTATTGAAAAGTAGTTTTTGTTTTATTTTTTAGCTGTATTTCAAAATAAAACGCTTATGAAAACTACACATTCTACAGTATATTCGTTACTTTTTTTCAAAAAAGGTATCATAATAAACTCTTTAGGGTTCTAGATTTAGGTACCATTTTATGAACATTTTTAAGTTGAAGATCGTTCGGCAAGAGCTTAAAATGGTTTTAATTCGAAACTGTTGTAACTAAAAATCGTTTTAGAGACTCTGACTGCAACGTTGAATGGTTCAGAAAATGGTACACAAATCTACAGCCCTAAGGAATTAATATGACGTCTTTTTTTATAGTACCCCATCTGCTACCACCAAGATCTCTTATGGTGCAAATCTGTAGGAAAACATTTTCTCAAAAAAGTTGAATCTGTCATTAGTTCTGCATACACGAGCAGTTGACATCTTTTTGAACCTAACCGAACCGGATCGACCAGTTTTTTGAAAAGGTCGAATCAAGCCAGCCTCATCTCCGATTTGAAATCGGAAGATCAGAAATGGTTTCTTACATTACTAGCTATGACCATAGATATATGATACGTGAAAAGTCACATGAACCTCTGGGTAAAACAGTAATTAAGCCTGATCATCTATCGGATAACGCAAATTTATGTGTTTATTAATACACAAGTTGCCAAACAGCTTTTTCTTACCTATCAAAATTTCAGTATTCATTAAGAGGACGCAATTATTCAGAATCGACAATGGTTTTTACAATTCTTCTCAATTTAAAAAATTGTACAACTACCTGTATTAGCTCATTTAAGCCAGCTGTATAGAATTTTCCCCAATATATACTTCTGTTTTTAAGTATCTTTTCAGCATTTATATTATCTTATTTGTTCAATACCAGTTTTAATGACTCTCAATTTCGTGATAAAAATTCCATTCAAGTCACTTTTATAAGTATTTTGTTCAAAAACTTTTTTGTTTCCTTAAATCTTAATGGACGAAAAGGGTCGACAGTAGATATCTGATTTCTGATTAATTTGAATACAAGGAGCAGGTAGATTTCTGATGTCTGACTTCCGGTTAAATTGGATATAGTAGGGTTTTTTAAGCTCCTATCCATTTTTTTGAATAGTGGCGTCAAAAATAACTTCATCATTATTAACTTAATCTAAATTTTTATGGGTTACTCTGACTCGCAGAAATTTTAAAATTTTCATGAGTTAAAATTTTTGAAAATTTTGACACTCAGATTTCAAAATTGGTAATAATTTGAGATTTGCCACCCCATGTGGATGTGAGTGTGGGTGTCGGTGTGGGTGTGGGCGTGGGTGTCAGTGTGGGTGTCGGTGTGTGTGTGGGCGTGGGTGTCAGTGTGGGTGTGGGTGGGTGTCAACCTTGTTCTTGTTGACACCCACACCCATACCCCTTCAGGGTGCCACTTGAGACTCATCGCTTCTCTGAATGCATCACACATTCCAACAAGAAAAACCAAGACGCTTTTAGTCTCATTCTAAAACAATTCACGCAAAAACATTTCGGTCAATCCAATTTCAGGTTCGACGATTTGACACCTATAAACCACAGGGAAGTTATATCGAAAACTTTGAAGACCGAAAAGTAGAAAATTTAGTTTTTGTTGGATGGATTCTCTGATCAATGGGAGTTCAGATGAAAAAATCAATGCCAGATGCTCGTTCTTCGCCCACCGGTAACCTTTAACAATATTTCATCGGAATGCCCCAGCGTTTCTAATGGCAGGTGTACCCAGCAGAAGTAAAATGTACGGGACACCTGCTATTACAACAATACACGCTGCGGTACACTTGCTTAAAAAATTAGAGTGTACAAGGTACACTTTACTAAGTGAATATACACTTTGTTTTTTTTAGATATTGAGAAGTATTTTATTCTTACACATTTATGTCTAATTCATACTGAAAAAGATAAAACAAAACGCACGACACGATTGATCTATTCCGACTTAAATCTTCTTTTTGAGATGACTTATTCGTTAATTCTGTTTTAATTCGCTTTGAATTAGTCGGTGTGAATTCGGTCTATCAAGCATTCCAATTTCAATGTTAATTTTCGACGAGTCTAGCCAGATTTATCGTTCATTTTTCTTTATCTTAAAAAGAATTTTAATATATTTTTTGTAATTTCAGATTTCATATGAACAGATTATTAGTAATACTAATGTACAACTGAAACTGAACGATATATGGAAAAACATACAGCTACCCTCAGTTCAGATCATATCGATATGCATATTGACAGTGATGAAAATGAAAAATAATAGAGTTATTTATTGAGAACATTGTATATTACATAGTAATCTATATTAAAATTTTATGTTGATTTCTTATTCCAGTTTTTTATATTTACAGTTTATGTATTTATGAAATTATTAAATGTAAATTGTACTTGTTTATCTATTATTTGTTTGTTTAAAATTGATGTATTATTTTATAAAAGGAAAAAAAATATGAACTTGATTTATTTTTCATGTTTTTCTAGTAAATGTACCTTTGATTGAGTACATTTTGTACACTTACCATTTAAAAATAAAGTGTACACATACATTTTGTTTTAAGAAAATAGAGTGTACAGTACATTGTATTTTAGATTTCCATTAGAAACGCTGGAATGCCCCAAAAAACAGAACTCGAAAAGCTCGTTTATGATTGGTCGATATTCTGGCCAATCAGCTCTTGAATGAAAAATCCGACCTCATATTCGGATTTTGGGACCCCAATAACCTATAGCAAAATTTTATCAGACGACCAAAATACCTGAAGAAAAGAAAAGCTCATTTCTGATTGGTCGGTTTACAGCCAATGGGAAGCTCGGATCAAAAGTTCGACCTCAGATTCGGAATCAGGGACCCCAATAACCTATAGCAAAATTTTATCAGAAGGTCAACATACCTTAAGATAAAAAAGCTCGTTTCTGATTGGTTTGGACAGACAGACAAACATACATACATTTTCGGAATTTAAGACCCTTTCTTTCAGAAAAAGGAATTAAATAATAGATATTTGCGATTCTATCCAGGTTTTTAACGGTGTTTCCAAACATCGTGTCTATTGTACTTTGTAATTATGTCATAGCAATGAGAACCATTAAAGTTGCTCCTCTTTCCACTGAAAAATGATCAAAAATGAGGAGAACGCGAGGATCTTGATGCAGTTTTTCTTTAACCTACACCCACGTGGATGACTATAGTTGAATACTCAATTATTTATGAATTAATTTCGTATTGGTGTTTTTAATTGTTTTGTAGCATTCACAAGTTGTTATCCTTCAGGGTTTGGGTTACTTGTATATACCCACATCCACACTTCAATGTTTTTCTAAAGATCGTTTGTTCATGATTATAGTTTAAAATATATAAAAAAATGTTATTACATATCAAGAAAAACAGGTTACAAACAAAAAACACACGTAAGATTGATAAAAGCAAAAGAATGAATATTGCCATATAAAAAATAAACATAGAAATACATTCAAAAAACAAATACAGTTTCATGTAATATATAGGGGATAATCATGCATAAACAAAAAAGAATCAGTAGAAGTATACAGCCATACAGAACAACAAAATTTATTTGATATTAAGATTTCATCGAATTATTAATAAAAATATATTTTATGTGAAAACATTTTTTAGGCATAGGTTTTTCCATATCTATTTTCGTATGCTGCTGCAAGTGCATCTCCATTAGAACTTTTTCCGACATTTCTTAGAATCTCTACAGTTATGAAATCTGTCAACATTTTTGCGCCATCAGCAGAATTTATATCTAACATTTTGCATCGTCCTCCTGTTTGTGTAGCAATCTCAGTAAATTTTTCTTCCGCTCCACGTGCTACATAAAAAGCATGTACGGGTATGTTGCTCGATGTCAATTTTGCTAACTCATCTTCATAATAGATTGGTTGCGGAAATTTTGTTTTTTTCCAGTAGTCTTCTCCAAAACCTTCTCTCTTCTGAATTACGTCGTCTTTTTTATTTGGAGGTGCGTCACCTATCAAAATAACTTGCGTGATATTTTCTCTCTCATGTTCTTTATTAGCATGCCAGAAACCAATTTCAATAGCTTCATTACCCCAACCTCCATCAACTTCAATTTTATTCATAAAAGCACGTAAATTATCTGGCTTAGTTTCCCAAGGTGAATATTGGAGGATTTTATTTTCTCGACTATTATAATTTCGATAGACAACAAACTGAATTTGAAATGAATCTGGGCTAATATTATTATCTTGTAGAATTTCTGCAGCACGTTCAAACATAATATCTACTGTATTTTTACATTTATGTAACAAATGGGACATTGAGCCTGTTGCATCCATTAAACAAATAGTTCGTGAGTTTGAGATACCTTCTACTCCCTTATTTTCTTCGATCAAAAATTCTTTAACAGAATTTATATCTCCAGAATGAAGATCTGATAAAAATTTTCGAGCAATTTTATGTCTATCTTTCGCTTGTTCAACATATTTCATATTAGTTTCATACTGTGTTTTAAATAAATCAATACGTTTAGTATTAAGAAGATCATATACTGTCTTATACACTTTTGAGTTAAGAGTACCTCTTTTAACAGCATCAATATGCTCCTTTTCAATAAGAAATTTTTCTAGGTCGCTATAGAGAAGTACCATGCTGTAAGAACCCTGATCACCCTGTCTAGCTGTTCTACCTTTTATCTGTACTTCTTCTGATACTTCTTCAGAAAGAAATGTTTGAATAACATGAATACCACCATTTCTAGCAACATTTTGATCATGACATACAAAATCACATCCTCTACCAAAGATTTTTGGAAGTAAAGTTATTTGGCCATATGAGGTTGCACGTTTAATTAGATTCTCTTTTTCTTCTAATGATGCTTCTTCTGTCAGACAAACAACTGATTCTTTTATTGGATCTAAAGCTTCTGATTCATAAAATTCTTTTAATCTATGTTTGGATTCAAAAATAATCAATACAGCACGTTTTTCTGATGATCTGCCAACTAATCTATCACTAATTTCTCGTTTTATAGCATTAAAATAATCATGACTATTTTCGATCATAATATCATCTTTTTCTATAAATTTAAGATTATTTTGACCAAATACAGATGGAATAAATGTATTTTTCCTAATTTTATACAGATTTTGTATAACGCGCTTTTCAGGATCACTTAGCGTTTTTAATGTACCTGTAACACCCATTATATATTTAAATTCAAGTGGTATTTCAGCATATGAAAAACTACCACATTTTATTTTTATGTTTATATTTTTTTCTAAACTTTCTTTGCTTATTCTACCCTTTTCATGTTCACAATGATATGCAAATAATGTTTTATAACCATAAACAACATTATAAACAATGTTACCCTGCTCTGAATATCCAATTCTATCTTGACTAACAATATAATCATGTGATTCAAAGTTATTTACATCAGAAAGCATATCTTTAATAGCTTCTTGAATTAATGGTTCCCAAGTAGGAAATTTTGCACAGCAAATTTTATATTCATCGGTATCTTTTATTTTATTCAGAGTCAAACGTGATTTTCTTTCTTTCCAAATAAAATTAACTAATGATGTTATTGTTCGATCTCTTAAACTAGCTGCTGGTGTATAAACATTTCCATAAAATTCTCGATTAAAAAACACATCAACTTCATCAATTAATAAAATTTTACTACGCTTAATATGTTGATTATTTTTCATAGTATCAACAGAACCTTTAGTAATTAGTTGTTCTACTATTTGACGAATGTCACCGTTTTCATTAATCGTATCTTCACATAGTTTATTAAAAGTACCGTAATGAATATAGTTCAATAAATCTAACAAATCAAATAATGGTAGAAATGCTGTGTAATCTCTCTGACTTAAATACTGACTATAACATGCACAACATACATCAAAACCAAGTAGTGCAAGTATAGAAGCTGTAACACCTAAAGTAACAGATTTTCCTTCACCAGTTCCTATTTCTACTAAATTATTGGTCAATTCTTCATTTTTGTCACCAATCCCGACCATACGAAATACTGAAATGACTTGAGCTGCATGAGGTTGAAGAAGATAATTATTTTTATCTTCTGTGTCTACAGCTTCAAAGTAAAGATCTGCATTTTTCAATGTCCACAAGGCAAAAATATGTGCCGTCAAAGTTGGAATTTTACTTCTTGTAGTTGCTTCCCATATAATTTCATTTGGTTTCTGTATAATATTTCCAGCAATTTGTTTAATTTCAGAAATTAGTCTCATTAGCTCAATATTCGGTTTAAGGTATTGTTTGATTAAATTTTCATAGGTAGTATAAAATTCATCATATCTTCTTTTCAATCGTTGATTGTCAATAGAATCACCCTTTAAATTCTCTAGTACATATTGTATTCCATGTCTTCGAACTTTTTCATTGAACAATGACAATGAATAACCTTGAAACAACTTATGTTCTGATATAATACTTTGACCTATACCACTACTATCTTGGTTTAAAAGTGCAGCTAACTTAACAAAAGTCGTCGAACCTGTTGTTGTACTTTTATGACGCTTTAGTATTTCATCTATTTTCTCATTTATTCTGACTTTAAATGAAAGAATATTATTTGAAAGACACTTCATGTTTATTAAACTCGTAGCAATATTTTGAACTGTTGGATTCTGGTCAGCTAATAATTCCCATGAACGAATTTGCTGAAAAAACATTCGATCGATTTGTTCAATTTTCTCATCAATCATGAAACATGTCACTTTTATTTCTTTTTTAAAAGATATTAAATTACTATAATACAAATTAAGATTATCATATTCTTGTCTTGTCAATCTATCATTATTCAAAATCTTTTCTAAAAATTTCTTACCCATAGAAAATATTTCTGTAATTTTGCTCTCTAATGATTCTATACATTCGTTTTCAATCGCATTTAAATCAATATCTATATTAAAATTACTAAAAATCTTAATCTGATTTATAATAGACAAATTTTTGTTTAATTCATAATAAAATTGATCTCGATTTTTACTAAATCCTTTTGTATTATCATTAATAAGCTCTTCATTAATCAATTGGTCTCTAATTTCTCTAATTTTACGAGTAATCGATTCTAACATATACGAATAAGGTGTTACTTTTTTTATAATTGTAACAATAGCATTTACTGATTGATCATTATTACTGTGTATACTTTCATAATTTTTTATTTTTGTAAATAAAAAATTCCATTGAGATAAAATACTTAAAGTATTCTTAAGAGATGTCATGTCCATTATTTGAAAAGCAATGTCATAATTTTTCTTATGTTCAAGAAAATAATTTGAAATATTTTCATTTAATTTGATAAGATTTTCATTGAAATCTTCTGGAAGTATATATGTTAAAATCTGTTGATCTCTATATTCGTCTTTAAAGGACGGGGGCGCATAAGACCGTAATTTGGCCCATTGGACTTTTCATACTATATCCAGCACAATCATATATAGNAATGTTCAACAAGTATTACACACGCAAAATAAACAACAACTATTAAACAAGGGAAATGTACAAGTATCAAAGAAGAAGAATGAACAACAATTATTAAACAAAAAAAGTTCAACAACTACTAGTAGTTGTTGAACTTTTTTTGTTTAATAATTGTTGTTCATTCTTTTTCTTTGATATTTGTACATTTCCCTGGTTTAATAATTTTTGTTTATTTTGCGTGTGTAATAATTATTGAACATTTTTCTCGTTTACTACTAGTAGTTGTTGAACTTTTTTTGTTTAATAATTGTTGTTCATTCTTCTTCTTTGATACTTGTACATTTCCCTTGTTTAATAGTTGTTGTTTATTTTGCGTGTGTAATACTTGTTGAACATTTTTTTATAACTGTTCTTCATTTTTCCGTGTTAATTTGTGTTTGAGTTTAAATATCTCCACACTAAACGACGTACATCATGTGATTTCACGAACACTGCTGTTTGTGCGAAGTCATTATCAAAGGTAAACGTAGTTACAATTTAGGAGAATCTCAAGCTTTGTTTGATAATATCAATGCACTGTATGAACTACTTCATTCACGATCGCTTAAAAGCGACTATAGAATATGCAATAAATGTTACCAGAAGCATTCAAAGCGATTGAAGTTATCGGACAAACAACTGTTATCTTCCGAACGTTTCCCCAGCATTGAGTCTATGGATGTCGATTTCAAAGTCAATATTGCAACTCAGACTGATCAAAAATCTGTATGCAACAGGGGTCTGACATGCGCTCTATTGGTTCCTGATACTGTTCAACTGCCTGTGTGTGTTCCACCGATTTCACACGGGTATTGCTCTATATGTCATGAATCTCCGTGTATTGATATTCCTGATAATGTTCGCTTTCATGCATTACTGAAAACTATGGTTTATTTTCGATCGGGAAGTCGTTATTGTATTAAACATGAGGCAGAAGGAAAGATGTCATCGGATACTGCTCAATTTGCCAAGACGATGTACGGAACAACTGCTAATGTTTCCATCAACACTTTAACATCAATGCTGGACGATATTTGAACTGATTGGAAACGCTGTAATACGGCATTAGAAATAAAACTTATACCAATTGACTTCAATCAGTCTTTAAGATATACGGATTATGATTATTGGACTTTGATAGGTATCAACGAGAAAAATTTTGATGACATTTGCAATCAACTTGGCATGCGAAATACTGTCAACCGATCTATCCATATGGCAGTTGGCTGTCTTCTCATCAAACTTAGATTAGGTCTAAGTAATGAGGTCTAAGTAATGAGGTCTAAGTAATGAGGTCTAAGTAATGAGGTCTAAGTAATGAGGTCTAAGTAATGAGGTTTTAGCAACTCTTTTCTCGTTTAGCGATAAACGTGTTGCTGGGCAAGTACTCGAAAGTGCTCAACTATCATTGGTGAAGGATTTTGTACCGAAATACATTGGTTTTGAACATATAAGTCGAGAAAAAACTATTCACGATCACACTAGACCATTGGCGAAGTCACTTCTCACTGGTGGCAGAGACTCAGCCGTTCTTGTTTTAGATGGAACCTACATATATTGCCAAAAGAGTGCATGCAATATACTTCAACGTAGATTATTTAGCACACATAAATCGCGACCATTGATAAAACCTATGATGTGCGTGGCTACAGATGGTTATATATGTTCGGCTATTGGCCCATATTTTTCTGACTGGATAAACAATGACGCAAATATTATGAACCACATTCTACGCACCAATGAAGAACAAATATTAAAATGGCTTCATCAAGGAGATACTTTTGTGGTAGATCGAGGGTTTCGAGATTCTCTTGACTATATACGATCTCTCGGTTTTAATGTATATATGCCAAGTTTTCTTTCACGGAAAGAAAAAAAATACAGTACATCTGAAGCAAACCACAACAGGTTCATAACAAAGATCCGTTGGATCGTAGAAAGCGTGAACGGAAGAGTAAAACAATTTAAATATTTTCGTCAAGTTATACCGAACTCGTCACTACCTTATATCCACGATTATCTTCGAATTGTTTGCGCAATTCTAAATGCTTATCGTTCACCTTTAGTTCATGATACTACCAAGGACATTGAAATTTCTCGAGTGATGCTCGAACGAGAGCGTAAAAAAAACAAACTTGAAAAGAAACTTCTTGATAAAGAATTTCAAAAAACTAGAAAATTGGAGAAGATAGAAGGTATAGAAGCAGCACCTGATTTTCCAAAGCTCTCACAAACAGATTTAGAAGAACTTACACTTGGCATTTTCCAGCTAAAACAAGCCAAAAGTTACACTAATGAACATATAGACGATCATGGAATTTACGAAGTTATGGTGTCAACACAAGCAAAAGGCTTATTGAAAGCTAAAATTCAGTCTAGACATGTCAATAGAAAGTTATACTACGCCATTGTTCAATATAATAAACGCACTGTTCTTGAGTGGTGTTGTCAATGCCTTATGGAAATGTAACGATCGGCGCATGCAGCCACGTAGCATCCATTCTATGGTATTTAGGTTTGGCACGCCTTGTTAACACGAAATTGAACCAGTTATCACGCAACTACATCGATATTTTCAAAGATGCCTCACCTATGCTTTTTAATAACAATGATAGCGATGATAATGATGATTCTAACGATGAAAACGATGATGATCATGATTAGACAGCTATCAAATGTCACATAGACTAGAAAAATAAAGAAAAAAGGAAGTTTTCGAATCTTTTGACCATGACGCACCTCTTCTTTTTCTTTTTAAATATTATATAATAATAGAGCATGAAGAGTTACATATCCTGAGAAAATTTGACATTGCTTTTAGGTTTTTTTATAAAGAGGCAGCAAACTCAAGGTCCCATATATGAGAAAAACAATGAAAAATGGAAGTTTTTACATTTTTTGACCATGACGCACCTCTTATTTGTCTTTTTAAATATTATATAGTGATAGAGCATGAAAAATTATATATCCTGAGAAAATTTGACATTGCTTCTAGCTTCTTTTGTAAAGAGGCAGCGATCTAAAAGTTTCAAATACTAGAAAAATAGGCGAAATCGGGTCCGTGATCTCAAGGTATCAGATGAAACCATTATGCACAAGTAGTTTTCTCTTTATTTTTAGCTGTAGCATGTAGTTTTAGGTATCCACTGCTAATTTTTAATTGAACAGAAGGATCCACTGGTCCATTGGGAAGCTGATAGTTAAAATTTCAGTTGTAAGGACCATCTCGAAATATTAATACTTTCAAGCTAGTAAAACTTTTTCTGTCTTTCTAATGTTGATATTCGTAATCAGCAGATGTGATTCTATAAGTAGGAATACATTTTAGTTGAATTTGAAAAAAAAATTGTCTCAATGTCCATGGGGGGTACCACAGGTCCCAAAAATTTTTTTTCCATTTTTTTGGAAAAAAACCTACAAAACATGATCAGGGTTCATACATAACTTCATTCTAATAAAAAGAAATTCGGTTTCATCAAGGGCGAAAAAATGACCTTATCCGTCATAGTCCTTTATATGATAAATTAAACAACAGCACCATCCCAATTAGTAGAAATATTTGTAGAAAACGATACCAATACTCACACCCTCACCCCTTCGTTTCCATGCCTATTACACTTTAAACGTCGAACAAAAGCAATATAAATATTGAATCAAAATTTATTTCGATTTTTGACAATAATCTTTCTTCGACATAAAAATTTGCGTGCAAGAAAATCAAAATGGTGAAAGCAAAAGATAATTGTGCATGAAAAAGAAGAAATCAATGGTTAAATGAAAATGAATATAAGTATATGTATGAAACATAAGTAAATGGAAAGAAGATGAATATTATGACACTCATAAAATGAATAAATTCAAGTTCGATAGTATAATGAAAATAAAAAAAAAATATGGATAAATATCGAAAAAAGCAAATGGCATTGCTGTAGTAAAAACAGAATGAGAAATTCATGGAAAAATTCAATGAAAATACTAAGTGATAAAATATTTCTAAGAATGTTTAGTCTATTCTACATCTTTTTTGGAATACTTTTCTCTATATGCTTTAACAAGAACATCACCTTTTACAGATCCTCCAATATTGTTAAGAATTTCCTCGGTTACTAAATCTGTTAACATTTTCGCGCCTGCTGAAGAATTTATATCTAGCATTTCACAACGTCCTCCTGTATTTTGAGCAATTTTTTGAAAAACACTTTTCGCTCGATGTTCAACATAAAAAGCATGTACGGGAATTTTGGAAATTTTCAAATGTTCAAGCTCATTCTCATAATAGGTCTCTTGTTGAAATTTAGTTCCTAACCAGTACTGTTCACCAAACTGTTTTCTTTTTATTTTTACCTCGTTCCGTGTATTTGGAGGAGCATCGCCTATCAAAATAACCTGTGTAATAGTTTCTCTTATATTTTCCTGATTCGTGTGCCATAAACCAATTTCAACAGCTTCATTATCCAAACCTCCTTCAACTTCAATTGTATTCATAAAAGCACGCAAGTTATCTGGTTTAGTTTCCCAAGGAGAACTTTGTAGAATTTTATCTTCTTTACTATTATAGTTTCGATAGACAGCAAACTGAATTTGAAACGAATTCGAACTTATATTATGTTCTTGTAGAATTTTTGAAGCCCTCTCAAACATAATATCTACTGTATTTTTACACTTATGTAACAAAGCGTACATGGAGCCTGTTGCATCCATTAAGCAAACAGTTCGTGAAGTTGTTGAACCTTCTGCTCCCTTATTTTCTTCAGCTAGAAACTCTTTAACGGCGTCAAGTTTGCCAGTAGTAAGGTTTGATAATAATTTTTTAGCTTTTTCATGTTTAATTCGAGCATGTTCGACAAATTTTCTATTATTATCGTATCGTGCTTTAAAAGTCTCAGTACGTTTTTCATCTAGAAGCTCATGCATAGTATTGTATTTCTTCGAAATCCCAATAACACCAGCTAAACGACTAAGAAACCCTTTACCTGCTCTAATATCTTCAATATCACTCTTTTGTATTTGAAATTTCTCAAGATCACGATCAAGTAAAACCATACTGTACGATCCTTTATTACCTTGTCTTGCCGTTCTTCCCTTTATTTGTACTTCTTCTGATATTTCTTCAGAAAGAAATGTTTGAATAACATGAGTACCTCCATTTGAAAGAACAGTTTGATCATAACATATAAAATCAGTTCCTCTACCGAATGTGCTAGTAAATAATGTTATTCTTCCTGATACAGTTGCAGATTTTATTCTTGACTCCTTTTCTTCTAAAGACGTTTGTTCTGTTAAACAAAAGACGAAGTCTTTTAGCGAAGCTAACGCTTTTGAATCACGAAATTCCTGTAATTTCTTTTCTGACTCAAAAAATACTAATAGAGCACGTTGATCTGATGATTTCCCATATAATCTATCCTCTATTTCTTGTTTTATTACGTTAAAGTAGTCGTTCTCATTTTCAATTTTAATATCATTTCCTTCTCTGAATATCAAATTATTTACACCAAATACTGATGGCATATATGTATTTCTTTTAATTTTATATACGTTCCGTATTACTTTTTTCTCAGGTTCACTTAAAGTTCTTAATGTACCTGTTACACCCATCATATAGTTAAATTCAAGCGGAATTTCAGCATAAGAAAAACTACCACATTTGATTTCAATAGAAATATTTTTTTCTACAGTTGCCTTACTTATTTCGTTACTCTTTTCATGTTCATGGAGATAAGCAAATAAAGTTTTATAACCGTAAGAAATATTATAAACAACATTATCTTGTTCGATATATGCGATTTGACCATTCTTAACCGTATAACCATGTGATTGAAAATTACGTACATCAAAAAGCATGTCTTTAAGAGCTTCATCAACTAAATTTTTCCAATTAGGATATTTATTAATGCATGCCTGATACTCAGCTGTATTTTTCACTTGATTAATATTCATTTTTGAATTTCTTTGATTCCATATGAGATAAACTAATGCCGTTATAGTAGGATCTCGTAAACTAGCTACAGGTGTATAAAGATTACCATAAAACTCTGGACTAAAAAAGATATCAACTTCATCTATTAATAATATTTTAGCACGCTTGTTTGCTTTAGATATTTTCGCTATCTTACTCAAATTTTGAGAAATAATCTGTTCGATTATTTGACGAATTTCGCCATCTTCATTAATTATTTCTTCACATAGTTCATTAAATGTACCATAATGTATGTAATTTACTAAACCTAGCGAATCAAATAACGGTAGAAATGATTTATAATCTCTCTGACTTAAGTATTGACTATAGCATGCACAATAAATATCAAAACCGAGTAATGCAAGTATACAAGCTGTAGCTCCTAATGTTATAGATTTTCCTTCACCGGTACCTATTTGTACTAAATTGTTGTTTAATTTCTCTTCCTTATCACCTATACCAAGCATACGAAATATAGCGACAACTTGAGCTGCATGGGGTTGAAGTAAATAGCTTTCCTGATTATCTGAGCCCTTAGCTTCAAAATAATGTTCTGCAGACTTAAGTGTCCATAATGCAAATATATGTGCTGTTAATCGTGGAAGCTTACTCTTGATTGTGTCCCATTCAATATCATCTGGTATCTGTTTATTAGTTCCTGCAATTAATTTAATATCTGATACTAATGGTTCTAATTTCATATCAGGTTTTATATATCTTTTAACTAACTCTTGATAAATTTTATGAAATTCATCGAATCGTTTCCTTAACAAATTTAAATCAATGAAATCACCGTCTAATTTAGCTAAAACATAGTTTATATCATGTCTTTGTGTTTTTTGATTAAATATAGACGTTGAATATCCTTCAAATATTTTGTGTTCTCCTATTATATATTGACCAATACCCGTCGTATCCTGATTTAAAATTGTACCTAGTTTTGAAATAGCTAAATTATCATCATTGAGTCTTTTATAATCACTCAATAGCTCATCTATTCGCGCATTAATTTTTGCTTTGAATGGAGGCATATTCATCGCTACACGTTTTATATTTGTTAACATTAAGTAGACATTTTGAATTGTTCTATCAGTTTCAATAGAACCTGCACAAATTTCAATATTTTCATTGATAGTTTGTCGAATTTTATCAAGCTTTTCTTCAACTCCACATGGAGCTAATGTCATTTCTTGTTTATATGATACTAAATTATAATAATACTTAATAAAATTAACACTGTCTATTTTTGAAAAACGGTTTTCTCCAAAAACACGTTTCAAAATAACTTCGATAAGTGAAAATGTCTCGGTAATGCTTTTTTCAAATCCTTTCAGACATTCACTTTCAAATCTATTAATATCAATATCGGAAAGAAAATGAACGACTTTTTTAGAATCGATTAAAATTGAAAATTTCTTATTCAGGCTTTTAAAACGTTGTTCTCGATCATTTTCTATTTCATTAATATCATCATTGATTATTCTAGTTTGTATTATTTCACGCGTTAGTTTTTTAATATGTTGTGATAGTGTCAGTAGCATCGATGAAATAGGTGTTAGATATGTCACACATGTAACCAAACTTAACATTAGGTTATCTTCCTTATCTAATTCATGACGCTCATTTTTTATTTTTGTTAATGAACTATTCCACTTAGTCATAACAGATAAGACATGTTTGTATAGTGTAAAATCAACGTTCTCTGAAGCTTTTTTATAGGTTTTTTCACGTTCGTTAAAAAAATTAACAAAAGTGAGACGAAAATTCTTAAGATTTTTATCGAAATCGCTTGTAAACATGTCTACTAAAATACTTTTTGTCTTATGTCTATCTCGAAATTTGGTGAATTCCATTACACAAAAAATGTCATTTGTTGGTACTTCGATTTTCTCATCATCAAATGATTGTTTTTCTTCTTTCGAAAAATACTTCATACAACTAATATATACTTCTTGAAAAGTATTTGTTAGTTCTAATCGAGTTTTCGTACACAATTGTTTAATATCAACAAGATCTTTTAATTCAATTCTATGAGAATCGAGTTTTTCAATGTTAGATAATGCTTCTTTTATTTTGTAGTCTTTCAGATTTGTTTTTATTTCAGATACAATTTCTTCGGTTTGTTGAAGAACATATGCTTGAGCTTTCTCGATATAACCCTGCATACCATCTGTTTTTCGACATTTTTGAATGAATTCTTTCAAACACTTAATGTCTTTGCTATTATATGCACTATCTAATTCTTTATCATTTTGTTGAATATCTTTAGTTATTTGTTCTCTACAATATTTAAATTCTACTTCAAGACCTGTTTGCAAATCATCAGGTAAATATTTAATTGCTGCTTCAAATCTTCTTATATGAATGTTATCAGGATTTGATGGTTTCTTTCTAATCGCATCATCTAATTCTTTTCGAAATTTACCCCTGATACCTTTACGTAATTCCTCTAAAGCTTTAACATATCTTTCGTCAGTTTCTTTCACTTTTTCTAATCTATCAAATATATCTTTTGGTGGATTCAATGTATATTCATTAATATCCATTTCTATGTATTTTTTCACGACAACATTATCTAAAATTTCATCTTGATTGTGGTTCAATGTGTCTATTTCTTGAGAAATAGATTCTGTACAATATATGCCTAACAAGTCTTTGACTGTTTGTATATGTTTTAATCGTTCACCAGCTTCATAAAAATTACCCATATTATTGACAGCTCGAACACTAGTTAAATAATTTTTCATTCGTCCTTCGATTAATCCTTTAACTTCACTTACGCAGCTATCTATTAGATCTAATTTATCCGTATATTCTGACATGTATCTTTTTGCTTTTTCCATTCGTTTTAGATTATCTACTAGTGCTTTAATTGCATCAAATTCTAATTTCGATCCAAGCATAATCGTTTGATTTTTTGTTGCTTCCAATAAACTATCTAAACTAATATTAAATCCCCGTTTAGCTTGTTCAAAATAGCGTTGTCCTTGTCCAGCTTCTTTCGATGTTCTTAGTGTTTCCAAATCAATTTGAATTTCTTCATATTTAAAATTGTTAATATTTTCCATTACTCTTTTACCGCGTTCACTAGCTGCATCAATAAATACTTTTTGATATGTAGAGTAAATTTCATTATACTTTTTGCCTCGTACAAATGGATCAACTGTACTCAAAGCTTTTGCTATTAATAGTTTATTATGAAAAGCTTCAGTATTTTCTTCAGAATTGAGAAAAGTTAATTCGCCTGATAAATCTTCTAAATATTTTTCTAAATCACGTTTGCACTCTTCTTTGATTCTTTTACTATGAAGTTGTTCAAGAACGATCGGATACTTATCTGTTATATCAGATATTTCTTCTAAACGCTCAAATAATAATGTAGCTTTGTGGAATATTTCTTGTTTATCACCATTTTGAAATGCTTTTATAAAGTGAAAAGAATCTTTTATTTCCTTTTGAATGATAATACTATATTCTCTTATAAAATTTTTTAATGTTGCAAGAACAGATGTTGAATCAATTCCAAATGAAATATCTATTGATTTGCATTCATTTAAAAACTTAAATCCTTTCTCAGCTGCATTAAAATCAATCAATTGAGATGTTTTTTGTTTCCAAGAATCAATATTGAATGTTGTTTTAATGCTATTAAGTACATAACCTATTTTATTTTTGAAATACTCATTCACTGTTCCTATAATCTGAACTATATCTGGAACAATTTCTTCAACAGCTTTCATTTCATTAATTTCCAATGCTTTAGAACATACAAATGCGATATTACTAGGATTATCAAGATCTATATCTTTTTGTACAATGGATTTTTGTAAATTTTTAACATGTTGAATAATTTGTTGTTTAGTATTATCAACGACATCTGAATAAACATCTTTTCGATAATTTTCAATCCATTGAGCACTTTTTAAATTCCAAATACATTTCATAAGAGCACTATAATTGTTCTGTCGATTTGAATCGAATCCATTTAATACTGATTCAATATCTCTTCTCAATTCTCTTATGTACCCACAGATGTGTTCGAGTGTCCTATAATAGTCGCTGTTTGTTTCTGTTTCGATAGGAGGAATTTTTCGGATTAACGTGATCTGTTCGAATAATATTTTTATTTTAGTATATGAGCGTTCATTTCTTAGTTCGACCATTATTTTCTCGTTAGTTTGACTATAGTGCTCTAAAATGTCCTTTATGAAACATTCGTATAAACTACTAATATCTTTTTGATCAATATGCCTTTGTAGATCGGTTGCTTTTCTTACTGTTTCAAATAAATTTAAGCATTCCGTTAACCTATTAATAATCGCATCATTATATATTTCTTTTGAAATATCTTTACTGAATTGTCTGACTGAATTACGAAAATCTTGAAGAAAAGCTAATTTTGATTCGTTATATTTTTTTTTGAGAAGTTCTTTATCTAGATGATCTTCTAAAATAGTACATGCATCAGAAAGTGTTTTTAAGGAATTTGCTATTGTGATCATATTCTTTTCCTCTAGTATACTCTTAAACGATTGAACTATTCGATCAAATTCATCGGCAAATATTTTACAAATATCTTTATATTTATTTTTAATCTCTTGAAAATATTTAGCAAGAATTTTTATCTTATTTAAATTAATCTTGGTTGGTGATTTATCAAGATCTTCTGCTTTTAAATCTTTCATAAAGATGTCAACTTGCTCAATGAGATTGTCAATAAATGCCTTACTATGAAAAACCTCTTGTCCTACTAAATATTTCTCTTTCAATTTATCAGCAAGTTTAGCATGATTGATAAATGTTTGATATCGTTCGATATCTTCGATATTTAAAACTGTCTGATTAGTTAAACAACGATTAAACGTTGAAATGCTGCTCTGATATTCTTCATTAAGAAGTTTCCTGATATATCGAATACAATCATCATAAACTTGCTTTATATCATCTTGCTCAAGTAATTTATATAAACGATTTAATTGATCTAATTTATATTCAATGAGAACATATTCATAACGTTTTGTCGCGGACATTATACTGATTTGATGTTTTCTCACTTGTTCTTGTACAGTAGCTTTTGATTTTTCCGCAGTAAAATATTGAAATGCTTCATCAGGACGGTCAATAGATGCAGTATCAGATAGATCATCGAGAATTTCTCCTGGCTTATCACTAATTGGATCTAAGACAACTGATGATCTTTTTGTTTTTCTCAACATATCTTTTAGGAAACTGGTAAAACTAACATTCGATTTTTCTTCTTCATTTAATTTATCATTGATATCCTGTAACGTAGCCTGAATAGTTTTCTTTTCTTCCTCGGGAAATTTTGTAAATATATAAGAAAAAGCTTGTATATGATCTTTAATGCTTGGTATCAATCCAACTATGGCATGAGCTAACTGCTTTATACCACTACATCTATCATCCATACTTTTATAACTAAATAGTACTAGCGGTTTTACAGTTTTACATCCTTTTACTGCTTTAACAACACCAATCCCATTTGCGATATCAACTTCTGGTCCGTTAGTATCCTCGAAACCTGGAGTATCACATAATATGATACTGCCATTAGTGGATGCTTCGACACTTTTGTAATTGACTTCAACAGAAGTAATATATCGAGTTTCAGATCGAGCAAATGGTGAAGTTGTTACTTTTTGGAGTTCAGGATTTTTTATATTGATGGGCGTAATATGATTTAAACCGTTTACTGTGACTCGTTTCATTGTAGAGCCGGCAAAAAAATGAATAGCCGTTGATTTACCTGAACCAGTTTCTCCAAGAAAAAGAATAATATCTTTATCTTGTATTAAATGTGCAGCTTCATCAACTTTTTGGACGAGTCTAAATAATTCATGCATATTCAATGGACTAAGTTTTTGAAATAATTGTTTCAGTTTTGTCAATGTCGCTTGCCAATTTTTGTCCTTGATATTGATATAACATGTTTCTATCAAATTTTGAATTGCTTTTGATCGTAAATCTTCCACTATCAATCGTTCTTTCAAATAGTTCAGCTGCTCTGACATTGCTGTCTCTATATCATCTGGTATTACAATATTGACGTCCGATAACTTTTCAACATCGATAAATTTAAGTGAAACTAAATATAATAGATTAATGGTAAATCTTTCTGCACAAGGTGGCATTGACGTAAAATCGTGATACAAATTCATTACACTTTCTTCTGTAATATCGTGTCTTTTTTCTTCGTTATTTGTACGACATTCATATTCTGCAACTTCACTTAATCTTGTAGATGCTCTTGATCCATGGAGAGCTTCTCTCTCTTCAAGATTGATGTTTGCACCCGACTGTCTAGATTTTGAAGTTGGCTGATTCTTTTCGTAAGTTACTGGAGATGGATTAGATTCTTCTTGAAACATTTTTAATTCAATTTCACTCTCGGTGATTTGCTTCAACAACTGTTGTTTTGGTGAATGATTTCCAGACGATGATGACGTAGAAGACTGATGGTCATTCTTTGGTAAAACACTAGTTGATTCATCACTCTTGAATGATTGCTCATGTGAACCCATGAGACATATATTATATTGTTCACTTATACCTAGAGCTTCTAAAGTAGCTCGTAGTAAGTTTTCAACAGTTACTTCAGCACATTTTACTGGATTAGAATGCTTTCCAAGAATTCTCCATCGAACAAAAGCATTTTTATAAATTTCATCTATTTCACTCTGCAAATTGTTTATATCAATATTAGAATTTTCTACTGAGTCTATTAATTCGATTGTTTCAATTTGCTTCTGTGATTTAAATTTGATGAAGATTCCAGCCCAATACACACTTCCGTTCTTGTAAGGAATCAGTGCAATATGTGGATCATTGGTTATTTCGCTTGCTTCTTTCACTGCTGTCTTCAATTGACCATCTTTATTTTCATCAACGGCTTTAAGAGCATAAATTATCCTTGAAAGGTCTTCCGATATATTTTGTTTGAGCTTTTCCAATCCATTCGATAATAAAGCGTTAATATCAATGTTCTGGTTGTGATCTTTGTCAGATCCTTTTAATTCCGCCATCATTGAAGATAGCTCTCAGTTTAAAGTAAATATTTGTAATTGTTTCGCAATATATGTGAAATATTCGATTAAATGACAAATTCAAGAAAATATCTAAAATATATGAATCATTGATTGTATCTTTTAAAATGCGTTGACTTGATTCTCATTGATACTTGAGCACAACGTATTACACTTCTGGGGCCCTAATTATAATATCAGAAACTGTGTATTTGTCAACTCGCTGGGAGTAGAGTAAACTTAAGCTCTGCCATAAATTGCATTTTATAGCATTAAGGTCTGAATTCCTTAGTTGGATCAATTCGATGCTGAATCTGGTTGGATTCTCTAGGAACTTTTTAACCCCTAAAGTTTTCTTAAACCTTGGGGTTGAGGACTAAAAGTTGGATTGAATTCTCGGATTCCTAGGAAATTTCGATAGTACCCACCAAATGAAAGAAGCAAAAAAAATTAAAAAAAGAAGAATGCTACAGGAGCCAAGGGATGAAATTTTTTCCTATTTTTTCAGAAGGCACAAATATCAGGTTTGTGAATTATAATATTCAAGCAAAGTGTAGAATACTCAAGCGTATTCGATAGGGATGCAACAACGAGATCAATCGACTGGCAAAACAATCAAACATGGAATAAATCATCGTACTTAAGATGGTTCACCGTTCAACGCTATTTGCGGTAGAATGGTAGATGATTAATTGTCACCGTTGCGACCATAATACTCATTGCTTTTTTTCATTTTCGGCATATCTGACACAATTTAGGGATATCCATTGGTGCTTTATTACCATTAATATGTTTCTTTGCGTTGTCTCTGGACCAAAGACAAGCGTGTATGAAGGACGGTACTGATCACTCTAAGCTACTATGAGCTGAGCGTGGATGTGAACGCAGTATACAGTTAAGGACCAATGGCTATTGTGAGTGCAATGGTGATTGTTGCGATTACGTATTAAATAACACTTGTATTTTAAAAGTATACAGTTTATAACAGCAATCATCAACTCTGCAAAACTGAATCCTGATGTGCACTATAGTACAATGAGTTCCCTACGAAACTGCCTAAATAGAGTTCAGGGATTGAAATAGAATCGAAATGCCTTGAGATACTCATGAAGCAATGTTTTCGTTCTACAGATTCTTTTAAGTTTCTTCCCTTGGATACAAGGCCAAATTTTTAACAAGGAAAGTTTTTGTTAGGCTTTGTAGAGAACTAGTTTTTAAGAATATGCAGGGCTTTCAGAAAAATCCTGAGTATTTTCGTTTATGATATATTTTAAACTGAATGGTATTCTGAGAGATCACTTGAGCAAGGGCCTACTAAATCGGTAGTGGCTCTAATAGACTGGAGCATAGAAGAAACTGACCAGCCAAAATATGAATGTACATGTTAACACTATTCAATTGGAATTCAAAAAGAAAGATTCCAGTTCCCATAGCAAACAGATGCAATGAATGGGAGCGAGAGTGTCATTACGAAAAATGAACAAAAGTACTCACCACCCGGAAGGTCCACTTCTATAGAAACTAACATAAAAAGACGCTGACACCAATCGCTGACGTATATTTCTAGCACGTATTCAAAATGGGTAAAATGTGAACTGTTGAACTCATTTCAAATGACTCATCTACTACAGTTTATCTAATAATGTATAACGATACATCAATATAAGATTACATACAACAGCAGCTAACCGCAAGTGGCACCGCTGAACGACTAACTATTACGGTCAACTGAGTTTATCCATTTAAACGAATGAATTGCTTGGTGCAGCTATGACAGAGAGAGGCAAAAGTGTATACGGACTGGAGCAGGTGTGCGCATTAATATAAAAAAGTGAGAAAGTCTTTGCACTCATGTAAACTAATTTTCTCGAAAAAAAATCTCTGAAATTTTTCGGCAAGATTTCTTTACAGCATTTTGGATTAAGAGAAAAAGCGAATATGCTCAGCTTCTCGTTTTATATAGCTAATTTTCTTTATTGATTATTTTTACTCTATGAAATAAATGAAAAACTTAGCGCAAAAACTTTTGCACTTTACCGTATTTCGTCTAAAATTTACCTATCTACCGATATAAATTGCTGGTTAACAAAAAAGTTCTTTTAATGGCTGAAAATAGAGAATCAATGAATATAGAGTAGATAGTTAAGCGAATCATGTTGAAGAGCATTACTTGTTAATTTGAATAGAGAACAAAATTAAGATGAATATAAGAAAAATAATGGTATTACCAAATTTTGCACAAATTAACTTACATAGTAATGAACTTTATTTGCCGTAATACAGGTGTCTTTTGCCTATCAAATGGTTATTTTTTTTCTTCCTATAAGCAAAGAAAATCGTTAAAAGTTCGACTGTTCTTTACTTACATGGTGTGGTTTTCTCTTATTTTGATTTCATTGATGCAGAGTATGCGCGCACACAAGGGAAAAAACCATATAAACATTAAAAAATTGACGATAAAAGATAAAAAAACATTATTTAAAGAAAGGGAAAAACCATAGTTGTAAGAAACTGGGTTAATTCACATATCAAATACTGCGTTGCCATACAAGCTGTAAAAGTAAAAAATAATTGTCATTTGTGTATTCGTTTCTCTTTTGTTTGATTCGAGAACCGTAGGAAGCATGAATGAAAGTGAATGCCTAGTACTGCACCTAAAACTAAATTTCTCTTCATAGGAGCACTTAAGAATAGTGCCATTATGGTCTTGTATGTATTGACCGATGTAAATCAATTAAACAGTACTTCAACAATAACGAATTACATAGTTATTCATTTTCTTTCGAACTTACCAAAAGAAATCTCAATAGGGCCTACTAGAGTTTAACAGGATTTATCGGTTCACAGGTCAGAGTGATCCTTGGTGAAATATTCTACCGAGTACAACACTGTGATACAGCATCGTATATCCTTGTAGATCCTATAGATTTTGGTAGATCTTAGTACCGAATGTAGTTTATTGTAGCATAGTCAAAAATCTAGATAGAATTATTCTGAATTTGAATTATTATATAATTCATTTCTGTTATGAATCCAGTTTTGGTTGTAGATTCATATCGGACATTGAATATATCTCTTGGTGTATTAAATCTTGTTGGAAAGTGAAATTATTGTTAAGCCATTACTAAAACTAGCTCCCAGTCAGATAATTGCCATCATGACTGAAGATAATTCTGAACAAAACTGGTATATCACAACTTTTGCCAGAGTGCTGAAGTTATGAGCTCGAATCAATGACTAAGCATCAAGTTAATAATAAAATGTGAGTTAGGGATGCAACGGTGACGGTGGTCACCGGTTTGATCGGTCTACGGCTCATCGTTCATCAGTCCGCCGATTCACCGTAGGACCGGTCCCACCGGTGCACCGTACCAACCGATATACGAGCGCCATAAGTACTGGTCACAATGTATGTTAGCGTCCATGATGAATCACTTGGACGCTAAACGATGATTAAGATGCACCTTCTAGTCTAATTGACTTAGGACAACTGCCGGGATAGCAGGAGGTGTGGGTTCGATTTCCACGAAGGTCATCTTTTTCACCGTTCTGTCACATAACATCAGTGACGCTGCTTGTCTCTTTCGTTCTATATATGAGCGAATCGTATTTTTGTTGTACAATTGGCAAAAAAAAAGTGTATTGAGCAGAATTTTAAGACGTGCCTATTATTCAGCATCGTCTACTTAGTATAAGATGAAATTTTCCCAACTACCACATGTCAGGAAGCCGAGATATCTCTGGATCCATATATATTAAGATAGTTCCAATATTGTCAATATTAACAGGTTCTCGTTTTATTTCTATCACAACGCTTTTTGTCTGCTCATCATGGGTATTTTAATAACTTGGAATGAATAGGTCATCAANCGAGACAGGCATGCGCGAGGGCCCGGTGGGCGCGGGCGGCGGGGGGGGGGCGGGGGGCGCGGGCGAACTTAAAAGGGGATCATCTTGCCTATTTATAGTCATAATAGTATTATCAGACATATATGCAAGTCATGTATGAGTCAATCAAGAATCATTACTCATAAATAACCTTCTTGTTAGCAGGAGATTAAGTAAATATTATATCTTGATTTTTATCAAGATCAATAATTCCTCCTTTTTCTTTTTGTTGTTGAAAAAGTGCATGAGTTCTTTCTTGCCATTGTCTTATATTTGGTGAAAGATTTTGAATTAATTTTCGATTTTCTTCATTATTATTAGTTGTTTCAATTGATGATGATGGTAATTGTTCCATAATATTACTTGAAAGTATTTGTCGACATACAGGATCTTCAATATTATTACGAAAATCTTTTTCAATAGCAAATTTACATTTAATTGCTTCTTGATATTTTTCTTCTAATTCAATTTTTTTTAATTGTACATATGATGCAAGACAATTTTTATGATAAAAATGATGACAATTTGTTTTTATAATATCATTTCGATTATTAATTAATGTTAAACATATAGCACAAGCTTCGTGTGGTAATTCATATAATGATAATTTTGAACGTATTAATTCAATACAATCATAAAGTACACATGAACCAGAATTTAATTCAAGACATGATGATATTGATGAATTTAATTCATCTAATTGTTGATCTGTTAAACCACGTGAACGACAAAGAATTATTTTTGGTGAATCAATATCAGGATATGTTGATGGAAGTTCAGCAATTAATGTTACCCATAATAGACGTTTATCAGGATCAAAATCATTTTCATCACCATTCGAATAGATTGTTATACTAATGGATGTTTTTTTATCATTATTAATAATTAAATCATCCAAATAAATTGATTTTAATACAGTTATTTCTTCATCCATATAAACAGATGTTCTTGAGTAAGAATATGAAATGAAATGTTGTTCTTATGTTATCATCATTGGCTTGACTAGAAATTACCAATGACAAAAAAAAATAAATAAATCAAGCGCTAGTAGTCTTAGTTAAAATATATTCATAAAAATAATTAAATTTTTGTTGAAAAAATAATTAATTAAAGAT